CCTCCAATTAGCTACAATCTGTTGCTTCTGCACTGCTACTTGCTGCTGCTTTTTATCTTGAGAATACCGTTGCACTCACGCACGAAATTGTCCCAGAAAACTAATTATTCGGCGAAAATAAAGTGCAATACAAATCGGCGGTAAATTCGCGTTCACGGCTGAGGCGTAACTGCCTATTCAAAAGATCGTGCGCCCCTCTCTCTCTTAACTGTTAGAACTAACGCGCGAGAAGCAGAATCGCAAACGGTTCGATTAATTAAATCGACTACCGTTGCATATATTAAAATGCCTGTCTAAACTTCTAATAACTAAATCACATGGGATATTCATGAATAAAGCACTCACGTCTAACGATAACAGAACACAATCATTAGGAATACGTATATATATTACCTATCAAGTCAAAACTATTTTTTAAGCAACAATTGGGTGTTTTGATACAGTGTTCCAAATTTTTGTCCAATACTTTAGATAAAAAATACGTAGGGCTCTTAATCAACGAAATCACCGGTCTAAAAGGATTTCCCATGTTATGAATGTTTGGCAACCCATAAGCTTTTGCTAACCTTGTAGTTGTTTGGGTAAGACAATTTATGAAATTTTTGTTCCAATAATTCCTCGTTATTAAGATTCAACAAGATTTTGTAAATATTGTTTTGCAATGTTTTCAATGGATTTTTGCTAATAATCCTGTACGTGTTTACATCAGAAAACAATAATTCCACGTTCGTTTTATACTCATCTACATCTAAACACACTGTTACATTTCCTTTATCTGATTGTGTTCTCCAAAACGCGTTAAATTTAATCATTAGTGTCACAGATTAATATCTGAAATGTTTCACATTAATAGACACAATCAACAGGAAAGAAAATACATATTTTCTCAGTAAGCAGTATTCGAGAATTAATGCAATTTTAAATAGTCTAAACTGATAAAATTCATTAAGAAAAATTTTGTCGTCTATATAATCTCATTGTGCACATCTAGTAAATAGTAGCCTTGTTCATAATCGGATTAACTTGAAATTTTGAAGACATTACTACTTATATTTCAGTCCTTTCTAAATATTGCAACGTGATATGCATAATTGACTATAATTTTCACAGTTGACAATTTTAGTTTAACTGAAAGAAAATTCATTTTGATAATGTTAAGAAAGCATTTTGAAAATGTGAATACAACTATTGGTAATTTATTGTTTGATATTTAATAATTTGAATGTATTAATTAATTTTGTATAATTTTTATAATAAAGTATTCTTGAAGAGGCCATGAAGAAAATGGAGAAACGTTGAAGTGGTTTGGAAGTTTTGTAGTTGTAATTTATTTTTAGGATATTCCTCACACCATTGATTATAATTTCTAATATTACACAACAGAGGAAAATTAAAGAATATTAATACAACTTTTTTACTTTTGTAGCTATAAAATATTGATTATTCAAATTTTGTGTAATCCCTTAGTTCTCTTCGTTATCTTCATCTATGACGGGAATAATTACTTCAAAGTCAAATAATGACGTTAATATTTTTGTGGGCTTAGGTATACTTAATAAATATTTTCCATACGATAAATAATAGATCAATGCGGTAACATACGAGCAACAACGAACTGTCTATTGCCATTGGTATAAGTAAAACAGTATCGATCGACTTGCTGCTTATATGGCACGATTTTACTTGAAACCTTACTATATTTCGGTCTATTTTGGAATAATGAAAATCTCATGTTTAAAAGAGAATTATGTAATTGATTATGAGGAACCTTATATTTTTCATCAAGAATCTCATGTATTGTTTTAATAACTCATCTTATCTTTGTCATTAATCGAAATGCATTTGACTCTTCGTCAGACAACTGCTTTATTTGACTTTTCAAGGCTGACATGAAAGTATTGAATTTTTGTTTCTTCTAAAAAAGAAACATCATCTGAAAACACTTTATCTATAAAGAAAAGATCTTCTTGGATTATACTACTGAATCCTTCAGGTAATTGCAATAATTCTTTTAAAATGGACACACCATTTTTATTCGTATTATATGGTCCAGCAGTATAAATTATGTACTACTTGGTAGTAGTGATCGTAATAGGTTTGGGTAAAGATTCTTTCATGTAAACAGAGTAGAACTTGCTTTGGTATATGTTGTTAGAACTTTTTTAATGCTTTAGGCAAGTAGTATCGCATATCAAAGCTAACTTACCGTCTAAATAACATAACGCATTTGCTACTAAAAATGTTTGGCTCATATGAAATTCTCTAGAATAAGCTTAATATTCAAAGTATTGCGGTAAAATATCTGTTCCGAAGTATATCAGTAGTAGCTCCAATACAACAATCGGAATTCATAGTTCTCAATTTTATTAAAAATATAACTAAAGTTTGGAGAACATTTCGGTTATTCGGTTCTCACAAGGAAGTCACAATGTTCTAAGTTCATTTAGACTTTTTTATCTCAAACCTATTAAAACTCAAATTCATTCTTCAAACATTTCAAAGTTATTAAATTTATCTTGCAGACGATAATCTGAGCAGTCTGAAAGAACATTCAAGAATTTACCAAGTTTTTCATTTTATATAAATGATTTATGGGCAACTATTGTTATTCAAGCCAATTTCTCTTCAAAAAATTTGTTTGTGATTAAATGTTTTTTGTAACATCTATTTTGAAAACCTGTATGCATACATAAAAAAAAATATCTTGGAGGTCTTCAAGCGATCTGCACTTAAAACAGTATGTATGCTTTGCGATGATTCTCGAGAATAGGACATTAATTAAGGACACTTATTGAAATTAATTAACGATACTTGTTGAAAAACTTAATATCAAATAAATAAAAACCAATATCAATTATAAAATAATAATAAACTAATAAGTCAATTGATTTTTTATAGCCATTAATACTTAGAACTGTCGGTATTACGTATTAGAAAATCTTCAATTAAAGATGATTTAAAGATAAAAGATAGGATCATATGAAAAAACTAACAAAAGCTCTATATTTTTCGACGTAGAATATGAATCAAAACAGCAAAGTCGATTTTCAAATGATCTTTAAGTGAGTCCCATGGTCAATCCCTAGGTTATGAAAACATTGTTCGCTAAACCTCATCTTCTTCGGATCATTCGGGTGCATACATAGATAAAAATAGATAATAAATTTGACCTTTACGCAATCTTCGAATTCACTGAACTTCACTTATAATGTCTTATCTAAATGTAGGATTCCCCGCTTTTTCTGAATTCGGAGTCAAAAATAATCTCAAATTACTTTAAAAATCATATCCCATCCCATGAACAAGCTTATCACAAAATGTGCCAATTAAAAAATAGAGATTTTTATCTAAACCATTATATAAATAAACGTGTATTTTGGATTTTAGAAGAGATAGACGGGTGGCCTAATTGTAAGACATTCGTTATATGTATATGTAACGTATCATGCATGTCACCAATTAATTTTAACATTAAAAATTTTTTTTGTATCATTTGATTAATTATATCAAAATTCTTAGCTGTTTCAACTTACTTTACCGGGATTTATAACCATAATAACATACGAGGGTGGTCCGATAAGTACTTAGCCTCACCGCCCGATGGCGCCACTCTCGCAAAAGAAATATTCTATCACGTAGATTCTCGATGGTTACTGTCAAGATTTCAGCCGGATCGAAGTTGTAGTTTATTTTTGAGAGCGTGTGAAAGCAAGTGTGTCCGTTGATTTTTGAAAAATGAAAAAAGAACAGTATCGGTCGGTGATTCTATTCTTGTTTTTGGAAGGGAAATCGCGCAGCGAAATCAAAAAGCGCTTGGATGCTGTGTACGGTGACTCTTCTCCTTCGATGGTGACCGTCAAAAATTGGTTTAACGAGTTTCAACGTGGTCGAACGTCGATTTTGGAAGAGTCATGTCCAGGTGCTCCGAAAACGGCTACCACGGAGGATAACGTGACAAAAATTCACGATCTCGTATTGGCAGATCGACGATCGAAGGTGCGCGAGATAGCTAAGATCGTAGGCATCTCAAAAGACCGTTTGGGTCATGTCCTGCATGAAATTTTGGGCATAAGAAAGCTATCGGCGCGATGGGTGCCGCGTTTGCTCACTCCGGACAACAAGCGCAACCGTGAGACAACTTCAGAGCAATATCTGACGCTGTTTAAGCGCAATCCGAAGGAGTTTCTGCGTCGTTTCGTGACAGTCGACGAAACATGGATCCACTGGTAGACACCAGAGACCAAGGAACAGTCGAAACAGTGGACTTTACCCGGCGAAAGTGCTCCGAAGAAGGCGAAGACTGCCCATCGGCTGGAAAGATGATGGCCACCGTTTTCTGGGATTCACAAGGTATGATCTACATCGACTACCTGGAGAGGGGCAAAACGATCACAGGGCTGCACTATGCCGAATTATTGGGCCGATTCGACGTCGAATTGCAGAAAAAACGGCCCCATTTGGAGAAGAAAAAAGTGCTCTTCCACCATGACAACGCACCGGTTCACACCTCCGCCGTCGCCATGGCCAAATTGGTCGAATTAGGCTACGAACTGCTGCCTCATCTACCGTATTCTCCAGATTTAGCCCCGTGCGACTTCTTTTTGTTTCCAAACTTTAAAAAGTCACTCGCCGGGCATAAATTTGAGTCGAATGAGGAGGTAATCGCTGCCACGGAAGCCTACTTTTCAGACCTGGAGGAAACGTATTATTCAGACGGGTTAAAGAAGTTGGAGCATCGCTGGGTCAAGTGTATCGAACTAAAAGGAGACTATGTTGAAAAATAAAACGCCACTTATCCAAAATTTTCGTTTTTCTTTTGTAGGCTAAGTACTTATCAGACCACCCTCGTAAACTAAAATTATATAAAAATAGACATCTGCAATCCAGTTATAAAATTAGTGATGATTTCTAATGTAGAAATTTATCTAAGAAGTCACATGGGATCCCGTGTAAATCTAGCCGGATAAGTTTGAGTTAATAACTTATTTATTTATATATACCTAGGATTCAATCGATTGACAGACTCTTCTCCTGGCTCTTCAATATTTCTTTGGAGATCAGCACGAATTTTCTTCAATAAAGGTGTACAAATTCCTTGGCCGATTGTTAATTTTTCTTGTACAGTTAGTCCGTATTCCTAAAAATTACATAGGATTTAGTATATTTTCATATATATAGTGTACACATGTTAATATAAAAATATAGGTGGATAATGCTATCTGTTATTGAAACTTACAATTAGTTACCAGTACATATTAATTAACCATGGTGTGTAAGACTAATAATTTTCTTAATTTCATCCAAAATAAGCATTTAAACACATAAGAGGTCTGTTCAAAAAGTATCGCGAATTTTGTATGTTTTCAAAAATTATTTATTTATTCATGAATATCTTTTTTGGTCGAAGTTGAGTAGCACAGTCAACATCCGGAATACGTCCGCGCACTTTATTTTGTTTTTCACACAAAATTTGATATAGATTCTTTGATCCATTTTTCAGAATAGGCAAAAATCGAAGACGAGCCAAAACACATCCAAGCAAAACAGCTATAAAAATTAACTAAACATCCGAAATGGCCGACCTTGTCAGAATAAGTAAGGAACATGAGTACCAACATAACGCTACAAAAAAATCAAAAATACGTAGCCCACGGAAATTCAAAATTCGTAATACTTTTTGAACAGACATCGTATAATAACATTACAAAATTTGTTACCCAGTAGTGGAATTAATTTTATGTTTGCTGGTCTAAATATGACCTAAATTAAACTGACCTAAAACGAACATTTAAAAAAATATATAAATCTAGAAATATAAAAAAATAGAAAATTTTCACACTTATTTATTATAAACTACTAAGCATTTACTTTGCAGTTGTAAAATGCTATTGTAAAATACTTCTTTGTAAGGATATTCTTTTATCCATTTCTTGAGTTTTGATTTTTTACTGTTTTTATATTTAACCGTCTTGAGTTCCTTACGTAATTTGTTAAATTTAACAATCACTCTTATATGAATGGTTTTGAAGCTTATATGCTTTATTATTTTAGGGATATATATGCTGTTGTATCTAATTATTTAATTTTTATTTCTGCATGTTTGTACGAGTGAACTTATTGATAGACACACTATCAAAAGGAAATGTACTGATAAACATTTAGTAGAAATCCTAGATAGGATTGTTGCAATGTATTTTGCGATAACGAGGGCTTGTCTAAGGAACCGCGCGTAAAAGCCATTTCATATAGCAAAATCACTATTTCTTTTTGTTAAAATTAAACAGAATTTTACCTGAGGCTACCTTTTGTTAGATAAATAAAACACTCGCGCACACTCTTTGTTTGACGTACCGTTGTAAATCGAATAGGCTTGCGAAAACTTGCAGCAACGATTACACCCTCTGCATACACTCCTCATCGACCTGGAGCTGCACATAGATGGAACTAGAGCCAAACAGAGCGCTAGAGTGCGCAACTGAATTTAGGGCGAGTACAGTGTATCCGGTTTTGACTAAACGAAATCGGCCAGTGAAACATTGAATCTATTTCACAGATAAAAAAGGCATTGTGCATTGATCACAAAAGTGATGTACCATGTCACACAGTGTGCTACCCACAGCAATGATGTTACCGACCATCCGTAGTACAGACTATTTACGGACAACGAGGTAGTTGCCAAACTCAACCTTTTCATAGCAGCAGGGCTTCAAAAGTATCGGGAGAAGGTATCTGAGCACAACCAGGCTGCTGCAGGAGCAGTAACAATGAGATGCCTGAACAAGAAAATCCTTGAGGCATACAAACAATGTCCTTGCTTGCCCCGAAGGTTTAAGACCTCAAAAAGCCCTGTCTGCTGAAAAACAGTTCAATCGTTATGGTACAATAAATATGTGCTACATGATTGACAGCAACAACATCGATTAAAAGAATCAATTACCGTGTCAGACTTCAAGAGAAGGACGTGGACTCAATGCAGTAGACCCAGGAAGATCAAAAAACTCTACCGTCAAGCTAGATGATACATCCGGACGATAAATTTCCAGGATAAATTTACCTTGAACTACGGATCAAGGTTATCTGAAAGTATTCCAATCCACCTAAAAAACCCTAATATGTAACCCGAGAGAATACGCCACCCTCGTAATGCCCTTATGGCCAAGCGGAAGGCAACGGACTGCTCAACAGTTGGATCCGTGGCCAGAGATGTCGACAGGACAGTGAGAAGTTGGAGAACCAAATTTACCGGGGACAACGGTCAGATAATTGACATTTTCCTAAAAAGACTTGTAGCTTAACGTGTACCAGCTGGATTGACAGAGGAGATGCTGCCATACCTACAGGACGTGTTGACGGGCTCGGCACAGATCTGGTACCTGATCAACAACTAGGACTGGGCTAATAGCTTGACTTCGGACTTGATGCAAAGGAATGGTGCGGCACAAGCATATAGCAGCAACAAAGACTGGAAAGAGTACTCCATAGCAGGTATCAGGAACCGCATGAGCCCGTCCGTATACATTAGACCAAGCTGTAAGCTATGGTCAACAAGCTCTATCCTCCAATGTCACCTTGAGAGATCATGAGCCTCCTCGATCCGATCCTTTTGTAAACAAGGAAAGGTAAGTTAGCAAATAAAAGCCAAAATAAGGCAACGTCGACTCAAAGTCAGTGTCGAGAGATCGACTCCTCGAAAGCCTTTTAATGTGCGAAATGCTGTAGACTAATGTAGCTTAAGGTACCCGATAGAGTAAGGTACTACTACCTAGTTTTTCTGAGGGTAGAGCACGAAATGCATAGGCTTACGAGGAAGATGATCGCTGCTTGCGTTATCGAACCATCGACTAGCGGATGGCCAAACCCGGTAATCATAATAAAGAAGGCAAATGACTCGTATCATTTTCGCATTGATTTTAGAGCAATAAATCGAGTAACTAAGGCAGATGCCTGTTCCATCCCCTACATGCAGGATAAACTTAGACGCTTGAGAAGTATAATATATATATATATATATATATACAAGAAACCAAGTATATCACCACTCTGAACTTGAAATCATTACCAGACATCGCTGAAAGAGGAACTCGTCCATTAATAACATTTACACTACCTGGAATGAAGCATTTTCAATTCAAGAATATGCCTTTTAGATTATTGTTTCCAGGAATGACCTTTCATCGAGCGATTGATTCCGTTATCGATCCAAAGATGGACCTTTATGCTTTCTGAGGGCGAAACCACGTGCGCGCGAATTCGCGATCCGCGACAAAAAGAACAAACAGACTTTCCCGCAGTGCGAATTGTTCCTTTCGTCTTCGAGCGTCTGCAAAGTAAAGGTAAGCTGGTCAGCTTAATCTCGCGTCCGCGATTGCATGCATGTTAATTAATTTTCCGTATTCGAAGCGAAGCGTGCATGTTATAGCTCTGCTAACAAAGAGCGGCGAGCGATTCGACACTGTTTGTTGTCGTCGTGCGAGCGCCACCGTAAACATAAACACGCGAGCCAATTCTAGTGTAGCATTCAGAGAGGACAATAAAGAATTTTCGTTTGTGATATTGACCGGTGCTTTCGAAGTGTTTATTCCGTATCGATTCCACTCCCGTAGATTTGTTGGTTGACTGATATCCGTTCCGTCTTGCTCTCCGACTCTCGTATTGAATATAAGTAATTACGTGCGCTTTTCAATACGATTACGCGGATAAAAATAATTAAACGGTAGCAACCCCGTTACATGGCGCCCAACGCAAAAGAACCTATAGTGTTTCTGATTGTTCAAAACACCAGTTCTTCACAGTGACCTTGCGCTCAGTCAACCAGCGACTTAGGTGGCAATCAAGTGTTGTTGTGCACACTTGATATTGAAGGCCACAATAGTAAACATAGCCTGTTAGTTAGCTTGCGAAGGCCCGCCGCGGCGTAAAATTGTAAACATTAGCTGTAAGCGCGTGCGAGTGCGACCGAACGACTCTTAGAAGCGTAAACACCAATAAATTTTGAAAGTTGCCGCAAGTCAATAATATTGTACCCGTTGGCCCGGGAAAAACTAACACCGGCAACTTTCAAACGAAATTAATTCAATTTGATAATTTTATTAGATATCGTGTTGTTTTAACGTAAACGTTTTTTTTAATATTACTAGCTGCGGTTATTGGTGATTGCGCGACGCTCGTTATAATATTAGATACTAACTCACACAGCCGCGCTAACAAACAGTTAGCGCGCCTAATAAGTAGAGTCATTATATTGCGTAATAACGAGCGAAGAGTCTTTCGGCAAACACAGTATTAACCGCCCTTGATCGAGCCTAGTATCGGCTAATAAAATTTTTTTACTTGCGTACGATTTTTTTAAAACAGCACTCGCACTCGTACCACGCGTAACAAGCGTGTAAATTTCGCGTGAAACAAGCCGCAAATAACTAACAGAAGAAAATGGATCGCACTCAAACAGAAGTAGAAAACTGGGTATTGACGCTCCAGGAGGAGGAAATTGACGAATACCTAGAACACCTGGAGCTCAAAACAAGCGGGAATAAGCTCTCGAGAACTGGACGTCTGCAAAGCTGGTTGCTTGGAGACTACTCCGCGACGGATTTCGCGGAAGTCAACAACCGGCCCAACAATCCGGCAAAAAGGGCAGCCTTACGCTCGGACCTAATAGTATCCCTATGCGCGGAACATACAGCATCCGAGCAAGAGGGAGAACACCCGCTAGCCCAGCTGATGCAGAGCGCGGAGGTAATATCGCGAGTACAGAAAACCGCGATAAACATCGCGAATGTCCTGGACAGCGGCGAGAACATGAACAGTAATAACTGTATTACTATAACGGCTGATGATGGCAGCCAGTTCCAACTCCCGCCGGTATTCGCGGTGATGATCCAAGACCTCATTTTCCGCTCCAGAGAAAATGTGAAGAAATTGGAGCGGCTAGACTCACTGAGAGTGAATGTATCGAGTCTAACAAAAGTGTTAGACCAGATTTACAGTAACTGCAGCAACGTAAAGGACCAACTGGACGACCTGTCTGCCAGGATGAACGCATTAGAAAACGCCGAAAACAGAAATATACGGCAAGACAATGCGAATAGTTCCCACGAAGCACGGCAACAGTAGAACACGCGTAGGAGCGTAGAATTT